TGTGTTGAAAATAATTAATGAAACAAGAATTATGTAATTTAGGTGTGGGCTGTTCCATTTTAATTCGGTGGCATGGCGCTGTAGTCAGCATCCGAATTCTAAATAGGTACATCATGCAAAATAAGACACGGGCATGCTTGGGTTCCACTCTGCCTAACCAGGATGGAGCAGACTTTAATGTTACTCCAACTCTCTCTCTCTCTCTCTCTCTCTCACACACACACACACACACGACCACTCTGCCCCACGGGCATGCACACACATCTCCCGCACGCGCGGCAGAGACCCAAAAATCAGCTGGCCGGAGGGAGGTGTCAAGAGTATGCGCAGTGGAGCTGCGCTGGGTGACAGCTGGCGTGCCCGCAGAGGCGCCCCCGTGTGCCACCGGTGGAATGCGTGCCATAATTTCGCCATCACAGGTGTAGAACATTAACCAGTCTGCCACGACAGGTCGCAGCTCTTCATAGTTCTCTGTCTAGTACTGTACCCAGGCAGTTTTCCTCAATTATGGTTGTTCGAAGTATTGTTTTGAAAGAGGTGCGAATACGGAAAGATTAAATTAGACCTCCCAGGGATAAACAACAGTCATGGCTAATTGATTCTGACTCATATTCCGCTGCCTTTACCCATCGGGATCATCTCCTGGGGTGATCTTGAAGCTCTGCGTGGAAGTGGACTTCCTTTCTTGCATGGGATCAACTTCATGAGATCACCCGCAGGGGGTCTTCTCCCAATCATGTTCTCCAGTTCAGAGGAATCGCAACGCTGATCCCTTTTCGTACAATCCTTGCAAACCTTTTCCGGTTTCTGGAGTTATGGTGACTTTCAAGAAAATTTTAAAACCACAATGACGAGATGTTTGCAAGAATAGGAGAGCAAAATCAAGGGGACAGACTAAAAAAGGCCTTGGAAATTAGGAATGTAGCGTCCACCTTTCTAGATTCCTGAAAGGTTGATTGCCAAAGTGAATATTGGTAGCTCAAGGTTGAACGATGGGATCCTTGATGCTCTCTGAGCCTGGTTATAATTTCTTGCCGCTATTTCATCACCTAAATAGGTAAGGTCAATCAGTGGTAAGAATCAGCACCAGCACTGATGACGTTACCCAGCTTGGTAACGAAACGTCTGCAAGAAAACAACCAACTTTTTTTTTATTAAAGAGTTTTAATAAATTTTACAAGTATTTCCCCTTCCCCTTCCCTCCCTCCACCCCACACCCCCTCCAACCCTCCCCCCACCAATCTCCCAGAGCAAAATGCAGGGTATAAACATTTAACAATCATACACTAACATAAACTAACTTTAGCATCGTACCTTCACTGTGCCGAGGTGGCACAGTGGTTAAATGCAGCACTGCAGG